GTCATTTCAGTTGAAGGTGTTTAAAAGTATGATTAATGTTGCCTTTGATATCTATCCATGTCATTTCAGTTAAAGGTGTTTAAAAGTATGATTAATGTTGCCTTGATATCTATCCATGTGTATGAATACATTTTTATAGGTTCTTTTGATTTTTTTAGTTTCAGTTTTGTTTTGCTTGAAGATGCATTTATGCTCTTAACTTGTACATAACTCGCATCTGAACTAAGTTTACTGAACTGTTTCTCAGCCTTTTGATAAGCAATGTCTTTTATGTGAAGACTTCAATTGTCACTAGCCTTGCTTAGATCTTAAAAGAATATTCAAATGTCTAGGTGACAATCTTCATTTTTCTAAACACGTGTGAACATGTAACATGATGGTGGTTTTTTGGCTTTAAAATTCTTTTTTTGCATGACTTATAACAAGGGCTTTGCGTGGTAAATTAGCATTTTTTGCATGGAGACCGTATTTCCAAACTATGAACATTTATTCTGGTTCATATTTCTAATAGTAACAAAGAAATTGTTTTATAATACCTAACAGCTGATTATGTAAGACTTATTGTTAAAGATATCGTATTTTTTACCATATCAAGCTAATACCTATGTATAGGTTTGAAAATTTTGTTACCAGCATCTCCATACCATTCCATGAATGACTATTATGAACAAACTTTGGTTGTTGTTTTTTTATATTAAAGGCTAATTGTTGTTTTTTTAAAACTAAAACATCATTATTGTTTCTTTTTGTTTAGGTTGAAGATAAAGAAGATGCCATTTTCTGCTTGTGACAGAGTTGTATATTTTCTGTTTGTGTTACATATACTTTGTGTTGTTATATTATGGTGTTATATTGTCAGAAGTTCAGAAAGAGCTGAGCAGTAAGATACAGATGCTTCTTTGTTTTCCAGTGGATTCTTGGTTGCAATCTGAGAAACTGACAACTTTCCACGGAACCAGAATGTGGAAAGAAACAAAGGAATCGGGCAGGCCCATGTGTCCAGTGTGTCACAAGTCATTTTTTGACACCAGCAATCTCAGACGACACATGGAGATCCACAACCCTTATCGGAAGTCGCACGTTTGTGTCGTTTGTAGGAAAACTTTTGCGTGGAAGACCCATTTAGCCACTCACACAAAGAACGAGCACCCCGATATTCAGTAGTGTGGATCTTATGAAGAGTTATTAATTAGGTTTTAAACCTGAAATTTTGTAGCTATATATATACGTTTCAATAAAAACTTAACTTTTCTGACCACAGATGTTTTTGTTGTTTCCATGCAGAAAGTGTTTTGCTTGTACTCTTATACAATTGGAATAGTTAATAAAGTACTAAATATTAAATGTGAAGCCCAGTCTGTCATTTGATTTACCAGTTTCCACTGATTTATACCGGAGAATTCTACCCATTGTCAGTAACCTTTGACAAGCACAAATTGAAAGAATAAAATTAGGCTTCATATAGTGATGGGGGTGTAATGTATGGTGTTTTGAGATGTCTTTTTTTTTACTGGTACATTGGTTCTATTCTTGTATAGTTTATAAAATATAATGAATTAGAAAATTCATACATGTTTCAAGTGGTTTATATAGAGAGAAAAAGGGTGTAATTATCATCATTGATTTGTAGAAACTTCTAGGATGTTACAAGAAACTAGACAGAAGTTTGGGTTATCAAAAAATATGAGTGTAAACTTGTTTTTGCTGTTAAAATATTACCCAGCTTTTACTTTTGCATGTGAAAGCAACAAATAAGAGAAAAATGTATTTAGTTATTAGCTCCAAAAGCCAGTGAAATTCTGTCTGGGTCGTTTTCAAAAACAAAACTTGGCAAAATTATCAAACGTTAATGGTTCGGTAGATGTCTGTATGAATCAGTTAGTAAGGGGAAATAAAATGGCCTTTTGATTTGATATCTGTGTATATATATATTTCCTTAATAACCAACAGTAAAAGTTATTTTGTAAGCATCATTACTCGGATACATTTTTTATTTATTATGATGAACAAGAAAAAATAAAAGAATCATATTAAATCTCTATTGTGTTTCATTAAAACAACGAGAAAACAGGAAATTAGATTTAATTGTAATCCTAGTGATTACGTTGGTTTTATGTAAATGATTTCCGGTGAATAAAGAAGCACGTGTGGAAAGCATGGCCAGAATTGAAGAGAACGAGGTTTGTCCTAGTGGTTAGCATGCTCGGTCTGTGAATCCGAAAATTCGTGGTTTTTCGTTCCGTTTTTGCAAAAACTTGCGACAGTTTCATCCCAATAGTCGTCTTTCCTCTAGTTGGTCAGTTGAAAGTTAGCACAAATAACCCTTGTATAACTGTACATCCGCAAAAATGATAACGAACAACATGGTAGATCTTGTTTGATGAAATAATTTGTTTCTTACTCCGTCTACGAAGATCCTGCTACTTTAAACTTACAATAATAATTTTACAATAGTTTTGTGTGTGTGTGTGTGTTTTAGTTTCAAGTTTGATTTTTTTTTTCAGGACATTTGAAGGCTGAAGTTTCGTCTCGTACGCAACGAAAAGACAATCTTTTTCGATGTTCTCTCTGTTCCCGTAGTTTTAACCGTAAAGGTAATTTATCGAGACATATGGTGTTACATTCGCCCGCGAGCAGAAAATTCACGTGTCAGATTTGTGGAGTGGAATTTTTCTGGAGGCATCACCTTGTCAGACATTGGAGGTACAATCACCCTGAACAATCATCATTGATACCGGAGTCATCACGGTAACGGATGCTGCTGACAAGTGTTCGTTTTTAATCAACTTCTAAACACTTAATGTGCTTCCTGAAGTTGAATGTCGTACAGATTTTATTTTTATCTTACTGATATCGTGTGTTTGTGTTAAGCCTACTGTATTGCGTCAAACCAAAGTCAACGTATATCACCCGAGAAGACATTGATGTAATATTTCAATCGATAAATTTGCCACTTTTTTTTTTAATGAAATGTGGTAATCTCGTATGATGATAACGATTATTCTTAGAAACGTTTGTGCATATTTTAAAGTGAATTTTTGTGATTATCAGCAATTTCTTTTGTCTAGAAAATTTAAGAGAAGCTCAATGATCAAAACCACAAATACACCAATTATTGGGGTGATTTTTTTAGTACGTCTCGCAAACAGTTGTAACTTGCAAGTGCTAAGACTTTTTCAAAATCAAATTTTTAGTCTGTTTGAAAAAAAAAAAGTAGATGTATTCAAGATTCCGATAATTTAATACTTATTAACTTATCAAAGGATAAATAAAATAGCATATTGTTTAGACATTTATAATGCCTGTCTTCGTTTTTTTTTAGATGCTTGGATAGCCCTAAAATTCCGTGAACCGGTTTTTTTAAACGGATTTTTCTAAACTTTATATTCGACAAATTGTTGTTGTGTTTATGACTTTGCTACTCACGTGATCTTTATTAGCATACGAATGACGTAATCACACACAAAAATAAAAATGCTGTTTAGGTCCCTTATGTATTTTTTTTGTGTGTAGAAAATGAGTAATCCCACTCAATGTTTATGGTCAGTTCTTTTCTCACTGTGTTTGCGATTTGAGAAAATATTAATGAATATGATGCAATATGTCGGACCCCACCGGTAATATTAGGGCTAATGTATATTGTGTGATGTTTTTTTAGTTGTAAAGATAAAAATATAACCTTACTGTTAACATAAAGCATAAGATAAGTGATATCAAGATTCGTTGTCGTGATTTTAACATGACTGTGAAGATAAAGGCGTTAATTTAACCGTATTAAAACTCGTCTCTCTGTCGGTGACCAGAAGAACTACATTCGATCAACATCATCATTTTCTTGTGATTTTTCAGCTCTTAGTATGCTCGTGGACCAAGCGTGGCTTGGTGTTTTACATGCCGGACTGTGAGTTAGAGGGTTCGTGGTTCGAGTCCCAATGCTGAAAATTATACTCTGTACTTTCGAGTCGTTTCTGAATTTTAAAAGAGATGGTTAAATCCCATCGTTCGATTAGAGTTGGCGGTGGTTGCTGTTGATCAACTACCTTATCTTTAGTCTTTCAGATCAAAATTAGGGTCAGCTTTGCTCGAATATTCGAAACAAACAATAAGATGGTGATACAGAACAGACACTTTCAATTATATCATTGTTTTACGTTTAGGCTTCCATAAATGCTAGGCCTAACATGGCCAGGTGGTTAGGGTCGCGGGTTCGAATCCCCGTCCCACCAAACATGCTCGCCCTTTCAGCAGTGGGGGCGTTATAATTTGACGGTCAATCCTAGTATTCGTTGGTAAAAGAGTTGGCGGTGAGTGATGATGACCGGCTGCCTTCCCTCTAGTCTTTCACTGCTGAATTAGGGACGTCTAGCGCAAAATTCCAAACAGAGATACGAGATATCAAATACTAGATGTAGAATTAACACTATGCGTGTTCATTATGATATCTGTGAAAAACAAGGCACTATTTCATCAATTATATTCTATACTGTTAATCGGATTTGTTATTTGGCTAAAAGGAATGATGATGCTAGAACTTGTTGCGAAAACATTGACTTGGAACATTTTTATACTTGTATCCTGTGCTTAGAATAGCTAATTTACATACAAGTTAAAAACTTGCAAGTATTTGTATTTATAGTGTATATTTGGTTTTTTAGTTCACTAAAATATAGTCTTTTTTTTCTCTCTTTCAAAGAGAGCGTTGAGAAAAATAGTTTACGATTCTGTTATTCTCGCGATTTCCACTTTTTAATAATGCTGTGAATAGAAAGAAAAGCACGTGTTTTAAAAACATGTGAACCTATATGTTATTACTTCAAGTTGTTTTGGTGGCTGATTTACTTATAAACGAAGTTATTACTTCAAGTTGTTTTGGTGGCTGATTTACTTGTAAACGAAGTTATTACTTCAAGTTGTCTTGGTGACTAATTTACTTGTAAACGAAGGTATTACTTCAACTTGTTTTGGTGGCTGATTTACTTGTAAACGAAGGTGGTTTGCGTGATTATTTATCGTATGTTTATTTTTTATGACCTAATTGTTACAGCCTTTTGTGTAAGCCTTACTAATAGTTGCTTTTCTTTTAGTTACGATGGGTGGAAGACGGAGAGGTAGACCACCACGCGCTGCACACTTATCTCGTGAGCCGGGCCTCGTCTGTCCTATCTGCAAGACCAGTTATACCAACAAGACCATCCTCAGGAATCATATGAACATGCATCGACCCCAGCGACAAGTCTACCACTGTGAAATCTGCAACAAGGGCTTCTATTGGCAGACAAATGTGTATGCTCACAAACGAATGGTACACCAGACCCCTCCACTCAGATACCACTCTCCCATTAGGTCCAATCGATCGCCACAAACGCCCTCCAACACATAACTTGATTATCGCAAATATACTACTGCGTTGTGTTGTATGAAATACTGTTAAATTATGATTTTATTATATTTCTATTAGACTTTCGTGTAACTCGTATACGGTCCAAAAATATCACTTTTTGTAAGCTTTAATTGTTAAGCCTATTTTTAAACATCTTATTTATTATATATTTCCTTGCTAAGCCTATTTTTAATTAAACATCGTATATATTTGTATATTTCCTTGCTAAGCCTATTTTTAATTAAACATCGTATATATTTGTATATTTCCTTGCTAAGCCTATTTTTAATTAAACGTCGTGTATATTTGTATATTTCTATGTTATGCATATTTTAATGAAACTTCTTATATTTCTTTTTGTGATGGAACAGTCCAAGGTCACCCATATCTTCTGTGACGATTATAGTTGTTTTTTTTTTGTAGTTAAGCACAAAGCTACACAATGGGATATCTGTGCTCTGCCCGCCACGGGTATCGAAACCCGGTTTCTAGCATTGTAAGTCCGCAGACATTCCGCTGTGCCACTGGGAGGCGACGATTATAGTATTTGTGTGTGTATGGTTAAAGTTTTGCTTAGTTTTGAGATTACACTTTAACAAACACAAGTAGGACTTAACGTATATGAAAAATCATAGTACTAGTAAATGTTTCACGCGTAATAATTTACGTATGATTTGTCTGTGCATCGGCAGTTTGTGCGTCTTTGAGGTTGTAATACCTAGAAGCTGTGCTATAAATGCTTTGCGAATAAAATATATATATATCGAGTATTTGTTTTGAGAATGCGTAAGCAAAAATCGGCGTTGATTCAACTGTTGTATGTGTAATGTTTTCTATAATCAGCCTTGAAGGTTGTACAAACTCTGAAGTTATGTCAGACGCCATTTTGTTCTCGTGTCAACGTGAATTCATATATTTATTCCACCATTTCAAGGACGATCAATTTTTTTTAAATAGATTCTTTTCTATGGAACTTAAATTTGGAACCATAATTATAGAGTTTTATAATAGGTTAAAACGAGGGAAAATACTCGCGTACTATTTACTTATTTATTGATATATTTCATGGACATTTAGGACGCAACAAACCTCTGATACCCATCTGTAACTTCTTCGGTTTATTAGGCACAAAACGACTTTTTATTATTATTCTGGTAGGGTATTTATACGGGTTTGTGGAAGGAAATCACTTACGTTAGTGTTTTCAATTTTTTTAAATATATTTACGCACTAAAAACCCGCACGGTTTACTGCACAGAAAATCAAAAGAGAAAATTAAGCTGCATAATAGCAGATGCTGAATCAACCAAATTTAAAAAAAGAATCGTGTTTATATTAATCCCCCCCCCCTGCCAGGTGGTTAGGGCGCTCGACTCGCAATCTGAGGGTCGCGGGTTCGAATCCCCGTCACACCAAACATGCTTGCCCTTTCAGCCGTGGGGGCGTTATAATGGGACGGTCAATCCCACTATTCGTTGGTAAAAGAGTAGCCCAAGAGTTGGCGGTGGGTGGTGATGACTAGCTGCCTTCCCTCTAGTCTTACACTGCTAAATTACGGACGGCTAGCGCAGATAGCCCTCGTGTAGCTTTGCGCAAAATTCAAACAAACATCTATTAATCCCCCCCCCCCCATCTCTAGTGTCTCAGCGGCAAGTCAGAAAGCTTATAAACGCTAGAAACCGGATTTGGATACCCGTAGTGAGCATAGCACAGATAGCCCATTATTCAGCTTTTGTGCTTAACATCAATCAGTATAAATACTGATAGTCTGAATACTGCGTGTTAAAATTCTCGACTGAGCTTGTGTCTGTTGTTGTTTTTTATTCTAGAGTTATGATTATGACGTGAAAAGTTTTGGCAGTTTGAACGTAACTCTACGTATATTCAGATAAAATTAACACCAATTATTTAAGAACTGGAGTTTCTATGACTTTGAAATACCGATCGTATCTTGTGGAACCACGTATGCGTGATAAGGCCGCCCTCTATAGTGATATGATTTAGTACTTTGACCAGTATATTATGGAATTGTTTTTGTTTTTATTATGGTACACCAGGATTGACGCAATCCTAAGTCTTCTCTAACTGTACATTTGAATAGTGTGTGATGAACTTGTATGGTTTTCCTCGTTTATGACTTTGTTCATTGGATCCTAATTTGGCAAGGAAAATGATACTTGAAAAAAACATTTTTTTTTTATTGTCGCAGTGTTGGAATGCTGGTTTATATAACTTCAGTAAGTCCCCACTGTATTGTAATTTTAATCTTAGTTATCTGTTTACCCAAAATTAAGTGTACAAACTGACTGTGAACTTATTCCTGTCCTGTTGTGTTAGTCATGATATGATCTAAGAACCAAACCAGTTGTCACAATGACTGAAATATACTTGTTTGTATTCCTGTCCTGTTGTGCTAGTTATGGTATGATCTCAGAACCAAACCAGTTGTCACAATGACTGAAATATATACTTGTTTATATTCCTGCCCTGTTAGTCATGATATGATCTAAGAACCAAACCAGTTGTCACAATGACTGAAATATACTTGTTTGTATTCCTGTCCTGTTAGTCATGATATGATCTCAGAATCAATCCAGTTGTCACAATGACTGAAATATACTTGTTTGTATTCCTGTCCTGTTAGTCATGATATGATCTCAGAACCAATCCAGTTTTCTCGTAACAAAGATTAAAATATGCTAGTTGATATTCCTCTTCTATATTGTTAATTATAATTTCCTAGTCTAGTTTAGTAATTGTAATATTCGGGGACCCGAGAAACTGGAAGGATGGTTCTCCAGACATACTTCATAATGTCTGAAATGAAAAAAATATAGTCCTCAAAATTGTGGCCTCGGTATTCAAGTCTCATAAAGTCACGAAACAAATACTAAGGATGTCTAACAAATAACCAAAAAAAGGAAGTTTCCATATTTCTGTTTTTTTTTAACCTTATCATTACACTTAAACTAGTCATTTTTAACTTTAGGCAACAGGATGAAAATGGTTCCAGCTAAGTTCAGAATATAGCATATCGTAACGTAGATAATTAGAGGTTAAACTTGTCGACACAGCGTTGAAATATCTGACGTGTAATAACGGCTGAAGTCCGTTTATAGTATTGAGAAAATAGTGTCGTAATATGAATGTGAATAGCTTAAATATATCTAGTGTGTATTGCAACCAATGTAATAAGTTATATTAATCTATTGTGTATTGAAAAGATTGTGTATTCTGACGTAAGTTATGATTAATTTACATATAGTGTGGTGACCAAGATTGTGTATTGTAACGTAAGTTATGATTAATTTACATATAGTGTATTGAAAAGATTGTGTATTCTGACGTAAGTTATGATTAATTTACA